ATTGAGTTGGTTTCGACTCATAGTGGGCCTTGTGTAGGGTTTCCAAGGAGCAGCTGTTGGGTTTGAACCACTGACCTTGCAGTTAGTTTTTCACTGTTTATCCTATATTGCTCCACACCAGGAGTCCGTCTCAGCTTAGTATATTTTATTTCTATCTTTTAACTCACTAATGGGTATAGGGAGCCCTGGTATGGTGCTGTGGGTTAATGCGCTGGACTGCAAAGTTGGTTTGAACCGCAAGGTTGGTGGTTCAAGCTCACCAGCTGCTCCTTGGAAATCCTATACCGGGTCAGAACCAACTCAATGGCACTTAACAACAACAACAATGATGTGGTACTATAGGAGAAGCACTGGACTAGTAACTGAAAGGTAGGCAGTTGAAACCCACCAGCTGCACTCAGAAACCCTGTATAGGGTGCTATGATTCAGAACTAGCTCAACAGCATGCAACAAAAATAGTGGGACATGAACTGTCTTTTGAACAGTTATCTCTAGTCATATTTTAAGGGTTTTGTTCACTTTTGGTAGTGTCCTATAGCACCACACCATTTTTGTTGTTGTTAAGTGCCACTGAGTTGGTTCCGATCCATAGCGACCCTGTATAGGATTTCCAAGGAGCAGCTGGTGAGCTTGAACCACCAATCTTGCGGTTCAAACCAACTTTGTGAGTTGGTTTATAAAAGAAAAGATTAAATAGAAAGTATACCATCAGTAATAATAAGGCAAATATCATAGATGAGACCTTGACTTGCCTTGCTTAGTTGCCTTAGCATAGCTCTCCAGTATCAGCTTGGCTGACAGTCCTACAGTTTTAGAAGATCCCTGGTAGTGCAGTGGTTAAGCAATGAGCTACTAACTGAAAAGTTGATGGTTTGAAATCGCCCAGAAGTTCTGTGAGATGAAGACTTAGTGATCTGCTCCCAGATTGATGGGGCAGTTCTACTTTTACATGGGTTCACTATGAGCCAGAAGTCAACAATCAGCATCTAACAACAACAAATGCAACTAGTAGTATGGCAGTCCTTAGGGTAAAAAAAGGAGGAAAAACAGTAGTAACACAATTCTGTGTATGTATATTTGCTGACACTTTCTTAACTCTCTGGTAACTTGAAGAGTCCTTGGTAGAAGTAAAGACCTGTATGCTTCTACCCTCCCCCCCCCAATATAATTTTTTTTCAAGGCCTTCATCTTTACTTAGATTCACTAATGTGCCAGAAAAATGTTCTGCCAGTAACATTCAGAGTTAATAGCCTGTTATTTTACACTGAAAGCTGGTATTGTTTATAGAATTATGCCCTGTATTCCCAGGGAACACCATTCTCACTTGTGGATTTAAAGCCTGTCACTGCTACTAAGGAGCCCTGGTAGTAGAGTGTAGGGTGGCTAACCAGAAGGTGAGCTGTTTGAATCCACCAGCCTCAGTGGAAGAAAGATGAGGCTTTCTACTCCCATAAAGATTTACACCCTCGGAAACCCTGTACAGGGTTGCTATGGGTCAGAACCGACTCGACGGCACTTAACAACAACAACAATTATCACTATATTTTAATTTTGTCTTATGTTCTGGGCTGTTACACTGATTATTATAAATATTTTCATTGGAAACTAACCAAACTCACTGCCGTTGAGTTGATTCCAAGTCAGCAGTGCTATAGGACAGAGTAGAACTGCCCCATAGAGTTTCCCAGGCCGTAAAATCTTTATGGAAACAGATTGACACAATCTTTTCCTGGAGTGGCTGGTGTGTTTGAACCACTGACATATCAATTAACAGTCAAGCATTTAACAAGGGCTCCTTATATATTTGATGTTGTTCCTGTTGTTGTTAGGTGCCATCAGCTCATCTCTGACTCCTAAGGGCCCTGTGTACTCCTGTGTACCCCAGTGCACAACAGAATGAAACACTGCCCAGTCTTGTACTAGCCTCACAGTTGTTGTTATGTTTGAGCCATATGCTTTTTCCATGAATTTTTGCTAATTCTCCCAACTTTTCCTCTTATCTGGATAAATACCTTCCAGATCTTTCCAGCTCACCCCCAGGACCTTACGGTCAAGAAATGTATGTGTTTCGATCTGAGGAGCGATTCAAATCCCCACCCATCCTTCCTCCTCACCTTCTCCAAGTTATTCTTAACAAGGACACTAACATTTCTGTGAGTATCTCCTAATATTTCTAGGGCATCTGGGGTCACTAGAACCATTTGGGCCAAAGTTTTATAATCTTAGAGATTCGGAACAAAATGTGGTCAGTATAAATCATATACATATAAATAGCATTCCAGGTTTCTTTTTCTAGGACTGTGTTGTAGGTTCCTCAGGTACTGATGTTAAAACTTAGCATTTTATCCTGTTCCGGTTGAGAATGTATTACTGATATCAAATCAGACCCAGAGTTGTAGATTACTGGAATCAAGTTCTGGGGCTTGTATGTCAGCACAGTAAAAGGAATACTTGTCATTTGGAGATGGAAGAAAGAGGTGTAACTGGTTTTCTCATTCAGTTGCAAATAATATACATCTCTCTTCAATCCAATTGATTCTAAGAGTATTTTTTACCTTTTTAACATAAATTTCTATATGTGCGTTGTGGTCTAGATTTTTGTTTTAGCACTATCAAAGATGATTAATACATGTTGAGGTTTTGGGTTTCTGCCTTGGACTCAAAATTTTCTTAATCTTCTGTAATGAGAACTATTGGAATAAATTGAGGTGAGAGAGGGGTGTGTTGTTTCAAAAGAAAACACGTTCCTAGTTGAGCATTTCTGATTAGTTGGAAAGAGCTCCTAAGAAGAGTAAGTTCTTATAGTTTAAGTCATTTAACACCATTAAATGTGGTTTTTTTTTCTTTCTTAGTGTGACCCAGCTTTGCTCCCTGAGCCCAACCATGTTATGCTGAACCATCTCTATGCGCTGTCCATTAAAGTAAGTGGTAGACCTGGTTCTTCACAGGATGAGGGAAGTACATCTTCTCCAGTGGTTACCCGCTCTCCTTCCTGCTTCACTGAAGCAGAAGCTGACAGTTAGGGTTAGATGGCAGGAGGAAGAACTTTTTTAACTACTGAGGAATTTTGCATTGCAGTATTAGTATCAGTCTCTGTATCTGTCAAATGACCTGTGATCCTATGGTCTTTTTTCCCCCTTGGCAACTTCTTTTTAGTTTGTACCAAATACTTAAGTTTGAGTTTATAGCGGTAGAATGTCATTCTTGAAAATGAGAAGTCGAGGAATAAATTGGTCACATCACGTCAGAGAAAAAAAGCAAGTTTAAACTACTTGTTCAAAGAACAGTTGAATGTGCTATTAAGGCTTCCACGTGCTTAAAGGTGGACATGTGTTACTTGTCGACAGTTGGGGCATAGGTACTCAAGGACCTCCATCTCCTGTACACGAAATAAAGTTAACTGTGAGACCAGATTTAATCTCCTCCAACTCTCGAGTCCTCCAGTGGCTTTGCTGCTACTTTAGAGTCTGGGTTGAACGTACCCGTACTCTTGTCTTATTGTGTCTTTGTGGTTTGGCTGTTACATAGCTCAGTGATTACCAGACTAGTCTGGTCATCATCGGCATCACCTGGGGAGGTTTGTAAAAAGACAAGTTCTGTGGTTCTATACCAGAGGTTCTAAAGAAGTACACCTAGGATGGGGCTCAAGCCGCTGAGAGGTACAGAGGATAAGTGGTTTGCAGTGAGCTGAAAGATTGGTGGTTTGGATCTTCCCAGAGGCTCCATGGGAGAAAGATCCGGCAATCTGTTTCCAGAAATATTACAGCCAAGAAAACCCTGTTCTGTCATATGGGGTCATTATAAATTAGAATGGACTTGACAGCAACCACCACCAACAAGATGGGAACCAGTAATGTAATTTTTAAAGTTGTTTCTATTTCTTAGAAGTACGACCAGATTAAGGAATTCACTGATAAAGAAAGCTGACTCACGGCTTATGTGGTCCTTTTTAAGTATATATTATTGAATTTAATTTTTATAATAACTTTGTGAGGTAAGTTTTATTTTTAACCCCTGTTTTATAGATAAAGAAACTAAGACTCAAAGAAGGTCAGATTACCAGTAAGTACCAGAGACAGGACTGAGGTCCAGTCCTCCTATCTACCTCATGTTCTTTCCTGTGTACCATTGTGCCAGGTCTTTCCAGGTAGTTCTGTCTCTCACCTGCTCCTCATTTCTACTAAAGTCTTCCTAGAGTTGGATATTTTATGTTCCTTGCCTCTATTATATTTAGGCTATAATCAGCATATTCTTGTTACAGGATGTTAAACTGAGAAGCATTCATTGTGGATAATATATAGGGGGAAAGATAGGAGGATGCATTGTTTTCTCAATTACATATAATAACATGGATTCTTTGTGATCTGATGGAATTCTGCCTACTGTGACTACTCTTTGGATGCCTGTTGATGTCCGCAGGCCTGGTATCTGCTCCTGTGATATACCCATGGTCTGCAACATAAGTCTGGGATGGGAAATGCTACCACTTTCTCTATTCATACTGGTTCTGACATTGGCAAGAGTCTTCATCTTTGTGGTTTAACTTGGACTTGATCCTTTTGTGATTCTTCTCTATTGTTCTGGCTCTTTGGAATTGGTCCACTGGATTGAGTGTCTATCTAGGAAGGATTTGGGGATCTAAGAGTGGACTTCCTGAGTGCCCACTAGATCAGAGAGGACTATTTTAGTTTCTTGCTGATGGAAATTAGATCTGCCTTGGGACTTGAAAATGGTTTTATAAAAGGGTCACTTTGCACTAGTGTTCTTCTCATGACATTTAAGACTTCATGGATGGTGAGCTAGTTCTTCCTTTTATTGATTTATTTATGGCTGGTTTTAATTCCAGTATTAAAATTTGAGCTGTTGTATGTCAGGTATTGTTCCATTAGTCTCATGTAATCGTTGTTGTTAAGTGCCTTCGAGGGGGTTACAACTCAGAGCAACACTGTATAGGGTTTCTAAGGAACCACTGGTGAGCTTGAACCACCAATCCTGCAATTCAAGCAAACCTTGCAGTCCAGTGCATTAACCCATAGTGCCACACCAGGACTCATTAGAGGCCCCTTAATGTTGATGAGAGAGAAGAAAAGACTTAGAGAAATTAAATAGATTACATAAGACTATGAATATAGTAGTGGTAGGAGTCAGGACAGTAACTCAATCTATCCAATTTTACTCCAAAACCAACCTTTCTCTATTCTGTCAAATGGTCTCTGTTGACTGAGGACTGATGGGTGGGAAGAGCCTGAATGAATGAATTAGCGGTATATATTTCTTTCCCTGCAGGACAGTGTGATGGTCCTTAGCGCAACTCATCGCTACAAGAAAAAGTATGTCACTACTCTGCTGTACAAGCCCATCTGAAGGAACTCCTTCCTGTCTCCCAGGATTCCAGAGGAGCCTCTCCCTTACTTTTCTGGATTGAGCCAGTCTTAACCTGAGACTGGAAGGCCGATTTGCTTTGAGGCTGATATGTGTGTTTCAGAGCCTCTGAGTAGGATGCTCTGCTTTTGCATTTGATTGCAGATGAGAGCTTTATGAGTTGGTGGAATTTATTTTAAGAAAAAATAATGATAATAAGGTTATTGAAAGTATCCTAGCTCCAGCTAGGTCTATTCTCTCTGCCTATGGGCACTCACCAAGATCTGTATGGGGGCACTACAGGAAAGACCTTATAGCAAGGTTTTTTTCCCTAAAATGAATGAATAGCAAACTCTCAAGATCCTTGTTGGGTGGATATTGTGGCCCTGCTCCCTTGGGTCTCCAAGGGATGGATCATGCCAGGTTGCTGCCCTCCTCACAGCTGCCTCATTACAGGGGCAGCTTTTCTTGCATGGGTTCTCTGTATTCCTAGAGTTTGTACTATCTGTGAGTTTTTGTTTTTTGTTTTTTTTTAAATATATGTATGATTCAGGATGCCCACAAGCAGCACCTTTTCATTTTCATTTTCACATTCTAGCTTTGACAGCCTCCATCAGATCCCATACCTGATCCATAGCTAACACAACTCACTGGGTAAGTGGCCCCTTGAAAAGACTGTTGGACCTGACCCATGTCCGAGGCTAGGGGTGCTTGGAGGATGCTTTCTTAGCCCAGCATAGGCCCAGGTCTCTTGATTCCTGCCTGTTTTAACTTTCACAGTTGGAAAGACAGAATGCAGAAGATCGCCTTTCTTGTTTTAATTAAGCACAACATCTTAGTATATGGCATATTTTTGTAGGTTTTCCCTCCTGTCCCAACCCTACTTAACATCTTTTTTTTTTTCCTTCCCTCCTCAGAGCAGACAGTTCTAAAGTAAAGTAACAATGGAACCAGGGAAAGCCTTCATGTTTTTTCATTTTTTGGAAGACATTTATATGCCTGCAGTGTGTTTTTTAATTGAGGGAAAGGAAAAAACAAAACCTTTTCATTGGTTCTTGAGAAATAGTTCCTAAGATTTTCATTGCTAGTCTAGCCCTCTACGATCTTAACATTAGTATGGCTGACCCTGTACATTACATTGAGTCATACATTAAAGACACAGTTTCATTCAGTTCATTTGATGTACCTAAAGGATTCCTTCGAAGGGGAATCAAAAGATTGATTAGGCCAAGAAGCAAGAAAAAACCCTGGTGTTCCAATTCATGAAATGTATGACTCTTTGCACTGAGTTCTCACAGGATCATTTGTTCTTCTGCTTTCTCTGTTTAAGTGTTGGATGATGAAGTGAGTGGGGTCATTGATTTCCATTTGTGAACTGAGAAGTAGCCATTCAGTCCATTCCTGGGGTTGCAAGTATCTGTGGCTCTTCAATTTTACAGATAAATGCCAAGTCAAACACTCATCACTGAAGGAGTCCACCTGTTGATGATTGAGACTCCCTGACTGCTAAGATGCACCCAGCCAAGTGAGAGGGCATTCACAGGTCAGTTTAGCTACCTCCTGTCTTTCCCCATGCAAAGCTGGCAGCACAGTTATCTTTAGGGTACAGAGACCTCTTGGATCCCAGGTGTGAGGCAGTAAGGTGTAGAGTTTGTGTTTTGCTGGTATTGCAAAATATCAAGTGCTTAGGTAGTTCAGTGCTGGAAGTATATACTGCTTTACCACCCAAGACTGTCTTCTGCAGTAGAAGGCTTTTGTGGAGAGCCCTTTATGGTCCCAACCACTGTTTGAATGATGTGCCATTTTTAAATCCAGGTCAAATCCTATTACAACCAACTCTCAGGTTCTATGAAGTCTTCAGTTGTACTAAGATTTGGTTTTTATCCAATATCCATTGACTATGTGGCCATTGATGATTCAAAATCTGTTGTTACATGGAGAGTTTTATTTTGTACTCAGATTTCATGTAAACAGGACTGAAATATAATTGTCTTTGTGTTCATGTATTAACATTTTTGCTCCGTACAGGTGTGTGTCAGTAGAGTGGGACAGGAAAAGAAATCCCATCAGTTTCTCTCAGGCTAGAGGCTTCTGTGAAATGGCCCTGGCTCCAATGAGAGTAGGTTTCGGTGCTGTTGTCCGTCAGATCCTTCTAACCTGAAACTGTGCAGAGAGTGTCAGTTTTCCAAGTTCTGAGGTAATCACTCAGTCAAATGTGAAATGAGAGCCCACCAGCTACATGGAAGGGAATGGATAAGAGGAACTGGGTAGCATTTCATTCAGCACTCTTTCTTCTCTATACTCTGAATAACACCCCATGGCCCTCAGGAATCCTACTGCACTCCTGGTCTGTTCCTACGGAAATTATTCTGCAGGGTAGAGAGGGAGAGAGAGAAATAGCCCAGAGTACAACACACTCATTATTTTCTATAGGTTTGTTAAAGAGAGTTTTATTTTCTTCAGAAGAGAGTTTTTTTGTATATTTTGAAAATGTGTAAAGGTAATTATTATTTTTTATTTAGTTTTTTGGGTTTGGTGTGAGTGGGAGGGACTATCAGAGATTTCACGGAGTTAACAGAGTTAAAAATCAGCTCTTCAGAAGGGCTGGCCTTGAAAGAATTGCAATGTGGTTTAGGGGTTGTAGGGAAAAGAGTGATTAAGCTAGGGGAGTGATACTAGAAAAATATTTAAATGATTTAGAACTGAAAAGAGCTTCCTCTTTTGTTTTTTTAAAATCAAATTTAACGTGGTGGCATCCTTGGATCTCACTGTATATGACTTGGCATTAATGAAACATCTTCCCTTTGCCTATTTACTCCTGTTTTTTACCCTTTCCTGCTTTGACGCAACATTTGTCAGGTGGGCTTTATCAGAGTCTCAAATCAGTCTTTACCTAAAACACCTGGTACAGAGAACTTCCAGATCTGAGTCAAAGGAGATTTAACCTCTATAGGCAACACTCCAGAAGAGTACACTTAGACACAGTAATGTTGGCTAGCTCAATATATATGCTCATTTGACCGTGAAACCCTATAAAAGAAGAATTCCAAGAGCAGTTTCTGAAAGGATCCTACAAACCCAGTCCCACTCACTTCCCTTCAGTGATTTCTAGTTTCTTGTAGACCTAAGAAACTTTAAGATGAAACCTTTGAAAAATGTCATTACTCCATTCATGCTGCAAGATAAAGTTAAGTTTAGAAAGAAGTGATAAGTGGTATCTTTAGACTGGGTTTATATTAATCTGGGGCATAAATGAAGAAAACATTATAATGAATTCCCTGCTTCGTTGGGGAAATAGGGCTTTTAAAATTTTGACCTCAACTAAAAATGATATGCAATAGTCTTGTGTTTGCATGTGTTTGAAATACATTCTATTCTCAGAGATTTCTAAGATCCTTTTTTTTAGTCATTTGGGTCATGGGCTTAACAGCAGATATGAGGGGCTTAAAAAAGGTAATGGAAAAATAGAATGAAAAGATAACGTAATTTTCCCACAAACTTTTTGAAATCCCCTCATATACAGTTTGTTTCTGTGTTAAAGCCAAGTTCTTGCTGTCTTGTACAACTTCTGAAATTGCTGCTGATATCTGGTTACCCAGGGGATGGAAAAGGGTTAGGGTTTTTTTTTTTAATTGTGGATCTGGGCATTTGTCTCTCCTTTGGCACCTGTCACAGTTGGAGATAGAAAGGCTATGATTTCAAGGAACCCATTCTTTTGAAGTAAAACTGTATTTTAAAATTAGAAGAAAAACTCAAGAGTCTGTTATTTATACAATCTATTCCTTTTAACAGTGGAATCCCTCTAGCATCCTAATTTGGGCTTTGTCTTATTTGCTTCTATCAATTATGCTTTAAATGAATACACTTTGTTAAAAAGTAAAATACTGTATTCTAGCATTAGTTGATACATGAGTTCTCAGTGTTTTTGCAGCAAGATTGGTGTGTAATACTAAACCTTGAATTTTGTAGGTGCCAGAAAGGTTAACTAGTTAAGAGATACCTACTGTAAGTATTATATTAGGTATTGATCATCTTACTTCTTTTCTATTCCCTATTTCCCAGGACATTTACCTTACCCAGCTTGTGGTTTTAGGACAGCCAAAACTCACTGATGTTGATTAGTCCTAATTTCTGATCTGGACCCCATGTGTAAGACTTTTACGTGAATTGTGGTAAATTGGGGATGTTGATTGTTATTACCCTGAAGCATTTTAAATGAGAGCAGCTCTGTTGTCTGTCATACATAGAATATAAGACTGCTTTGAAAGAGATGAAAATGTGAGAGTCCTTGAAATGGTGTTTTTTGTAATGTTTAATGGTGAGGTGTAGAGCTGCTTTTCAGTGTTAACAAAGGGTGGCATACAGTATGGATTTAAAAGATTCTCTCCAAATGCAGTTTGTCACTGGATTGTAACACTTCTGAAGATGATATGATGTAAGACAGTGAGGTGTTTTTTTTTTCTTTTCTATGAAACTATTTATTAATAAAGTATTATACAGCAATAATATTTGAGTTTGCCCTTGATTGCTGATTATACTATAAAGGTCCATCTGCCCTGGCAGTCTCAAGACCTAAGGAATGTAAATTGCCAGACAGATACATTTGACGAATGGGAGAAGTTACAGGTATTAGGGACTCAGGTGATATCATCCTCCCACCTGCTATCGATCTCCTTTTTGTTCCAAGTTACTCCAGCATCAGAGAGAGGAATGTAAACTTAGCCATTTTGATTTTAAGCTTTTCATGTATGCATGAATTGCATGCATACTAGACACCATTCTATGCTGAATTAACTGCAATACTATATCATTGGTTACAGCCCTGACTGGTCATTAATATCATCTGTGGAGATTTCTTCTAAAATTGGGGCCCTGTCTACTGTAATTGTTGTTGTTAAGTGCCATTGAGTCAGTCACCTCGCAGTGACCTTGGTATAGAGTTTCCAAGAAGTGACTGGTGGATTTGAAACACAGATCTTGTGATTACCAGTCTAGAGTCCATCCTACTGCGTCACACCAGGACTCCGGTGACAGTATAGGAATCTCCAGTGTGGGGTTCAGGCACCTATTTTGCATAATGTTATAATGGATACATGTCAAAAACTTGCAAAGAGTGAACTCTAGTATAAAACATGCACTTCAGTTAATACTGTGTCAATACTAGTTCATCAATTTTAACCAGTATGCCATAGCAATGTAAGATGTTAATAATAGGAACTATAGAAAGGAGAAGAAGTTATATGGAAACAGTGGGTACTCTCTATAAACCTAAAACTACTCTTAAAAATAGTGTATTTGTGAACGTCCATCTCCACCATCCTGAGGCCAGAAGAACTAGATTGTGCCCGGTTACTACTACCAACAGCTCTGAAAGGGAGCACATTAGAAAGGGCCTGGATAGAGTGAGAGGAAATGTGGAGCAAAATTCAAAATTATTAAAAAAAAAAAAAAAAAA